TAAGGGCAGAGGGTGGGGTGGGAACCGGGTGGAGGGAGTTATGGGGGAAAAAAGAGGAACAAATGTAATAATCTGAACAATAAAGATTTAATTTAAATAAATAAATAAATAAATAAATAAATAAAAACACACCCACACTGCAAAGGGCACAGAAAGTCACTGCTGTTTTGAGCAGTCAACATCTATTTCCACAGACTCCCATATGTGCCATTTCTATTCCTTGTCATTCCTTCCTGCCCCTGTCATCTTCCATCTGGGGTCATTTCCTTTTTTGCATGGAAAATGCCCTTTAGAATTCCTTACAGTGGATCTTCTATTGCTGAAATCTGTCCATTTCCATTTATCTGAAAATGTCATCATTTTGCCATCATTCTTAATGGACTTTTCGTTGGGTATGGAATTCAAGGTTGGCAGACACTTCCTGTCAGCAAATTAAAGATCTGAACATGGCTCTTCCATTTCTTATTCTTGTTCCGAAGAAGTCAGGCGTTGCTCCTTTGAGTGTAATGGTTTGGTTTGGTTTTTCCTCTCCGGCTGCTTATGGTTTTCTGTGTCTTGGCTCTGTAGTTCCACATCAGGGTGTGTGAGGAGAGACGGACCAGCTTGTCTGGAAGTTCTGGAATGCAGGTTCTCCTGGGGAGACAGCGGGGATGAGGCTTTTATTTCCAGGTGCTTAGAAGCTATAAATGTTCTCTTCACCAGCAAATCCATTCCCCACACCTGAAACCTGCCGTTGCGGCATGACAGGCCCAGTAATCCCCATTCCCTCCCAGTTCCCCTATAAATCCAGAGACGGGCAGCTTCGATCCCCTAGTCAGGGAGAGAGAACAGACTAAGTCAGTGCCATTACTGCCAGCCAAACCCAAGAGCAATGAAGTCCGGGAATAACAAAGAACAAAAACGAGCAAACAAACAAAAACCCTATTAGAGCCAGAAAAATCCAAGGGAAAGGTGAAGCTGACCAGAGGATGTCCCACACCCCACTGGGCACTCATTCTGATGCATCAGCACACTGAAAGACACACCTGGAAGGCTGAGGAATACTCTGCGACGCCCCTAACGTTCCCCCCCACAGAAAACAGGTAAAATCCCTCCAAGGACCGAGTGCATTCGTGTTTTCCCCCCTTTGCTTTTATCGATCTGTTGGTTTTTAAGAACTTATTTGTGTCAGTTTCTGTTCAGTAGCCATTAACTTTTGTCCTTTAATTTCTTCCTCTGTCTTTCTCAATGTTTTTCCTATCCTTGGAGTTAGAGGTTCAATTCTTTTATGGCCAGGTGCTTACTTTGGTTGGTGTGATTAGGAGCTATAAATGCTCTCTGAGCACTATTCTAGTTGTGTCCCATACACCCAGACTTGCAGGGGTGGTGGTCATTTTCTAGAAGTTCTATAATTTTGGATTATCTCTCTTCTTAGACCCAAGAGAATTTTAGCAGAGGCTGTCAAATTCCAGGTGCCAGAGCGTCTGTGCTTTCCGAGTCCATTATTCAGTCACAGGTTTACCACATTTGGAATCAGACACTCTTGACTGTATCTCTTTTCAAATTTTTTATTAGGATTTCCTTTATGATATATGGTCACTTTTCATGCATGTCCTATGGGCATTATCAATGAAGAATATGTTATCTACGTGTCATATCAATATATAGTATATGTATCTATCTATACGTATGTATCTACACACTCACATTCACAAGTTCACCTCACCATGCTCTACGTCTGCTCTATCTGGGACCGAGAGGTGGCTTAAGCTGCTCCGCTCTGCTTCAGGAAGGCTACGGCTGTTACTTCTGACCAATTTACCTTGTTTGAGAACTGCCCCTTCCACATTACTACGCGCCTTCTGCTTGGCTCACCACTTGCAGGCTGGATTCTACCTTGTCTGAGACTCAGACGTGACGGCTGCAGTACCGACGCTAGTATTTCCCGGGGATGCATTTGCAATGGTTACACCTGAACTGTCATTCGCTTTTGGATTTGACTCAGAGACAGCCCAGTTGGGTTTTGCCTTGTGACCCACTCTGCAATCTTCCCCTTTAATTGGTGAGTCAAGACCATTTACATAAAACTGACCAGTTTTATTAAAGAACAATTTTGCATGGTTTACTTTCCACTGCCTGACCTGGCATGCTTCTAATGCTATCAGAATCACCTGGGTCGTGGCTAGCCAGCGTACCCACGCGAGGATGCTCCGCACGCGGCGCCCAGTTCAGCCGTGTGGCCACTGCGGTGATGGGCACCAGGCTTGGCCGCATGGCCTCGTGCTCTGTTCCAGGCCCGACCAGTGCTGGCCAGGATGACCAGCTTCGCTTCGCCTTGTTGCCTCACCTTCAGAGTCTGCTTGTACCCCAGCACGGACTCCCACTTTCCAGGACAGGCTGGAGCCTAGAGTGCATCGGCTCCAACACATCTTCTTTTTCGTCTTCTCGTCTTCTCTGCAGCCACCGTCTTCCTGCCTCAGGTGTGGGACAGCCCCCAACCAAGAGCAGCTGCCAAGATGGCCGGGAGCAAGAAAGTGATAAATTATTTGATGTTACTACGTATGCACACCTCTCCCACTGTAACTGATTTCTTCCCGAGGTGCATTTGGACAGTGTCTGTCCCCGAGGGGAGACCTGTACCAGGAGTGGGAGCTGGAGCGTGCGTGCTGGAGCAGCTGCACCCAGGACGCCTGCGGGATGGGGTGTTCTGGAGCTCTGTCGTTGTCCCTGCCCTTAACATCTTTCAAGGTGATGTGTAACGACAGAGAAGACCTGAGTCACATTCTGAATGCCATCACACTGCATGACGCCCCTCCCGCCAACGAAACAGAAGACTGTGTGCCCCAGCCCCCCTCCTGAAAGTGCCCTAGGCCCCCCCACCCCGCACAGCTCGCTGCTCCACAGGCCAGGCCCATCCCTCACGCAGTAAGAGCGCAGCCAAGTCTGAGGGGTCTGTGCAGAGCTCCGCGTGGGAACCGTCCTCCCTAATCCCAGGGGATGAGCTCCTTCTCCCTTCAACCAGCCCGAGCCCTGGCCTCGCCTGGGCCCCGTCTTTCACCTTCGGCTCAGTTACCTGACCCCATTCTTGGAGGCACTGCGGTCACAATCACAGGCCGCTGTCACAGAAACCCTTTAACACAACCCAGGGTTGGTGAGTCGCCCCCGACGGCCCAGCCCTGACCTCAGGGTCCTGGGAGCAGCCTCTGTCACAGGAGGGGCCGGAGCGTCCGGCAAGCAGCGCAGACCCGCACACCAGGGAGAGGTGCACCTCAGGAAGGCAGACCCTCGTGACATCGTGGAAGCAGACGGGCGACTCTCACGCCGTGCCCTGGACCAGGAAGGCCCGACCGGCCGCTCCCTGCGAGTGCTGGAGGAGAGGACACTCCAGGCGGTGCCCAGGCCCCCGCCCCTCCCTCTCCATGGGCACACGAAGCTTGAGCCCTGCCACAAGGGGCTGTGGGACGTCACAGCCATCCTTGACGGACCTCTTCAAGCCAGCTTCAGTGAAAAGACAATTCAGCTATTAACGTGGAAAAACCTGCAGACTCACGGGCACGTTTTAAGATGTGTCAGACCTGTTTATTGCAATTCACAGAGAGGACGAACACTGAGCCGGCTCCTGGGCGTGGGGTTGGCTCTGCGCAAGCAGCACAGTCCCGCGGGCAGCTCCTCCTCACGGCTCCAGGGTTAACTCATGCAGCCCTGCAACACACGGCCAGTCAGTCCCTTTCTGATGGGAGCTGGCTTAACTTCCCCCGAGGGAAGGGACAGTGGGCAAACCTTGGGGCGCGAACTGGAAGGCAGGCCAAACGCTCACACGTTCTCTATTTCATGACGTGCAGTGTTCTCAGAGCCCACAGCCCGCTGGGTGGCTCTCCGCGCTCCGTCGCACAAGCGCTCCTATCACCCACCCCTGCGCGCTCCAGGGAACCAGCAGGCGCGGCTTCACCCTGCACAGCACCCCCTCAGCTGCGGTTCCCCATGGGGCGTAGTGAGGTTTTCACAGGGCAGCCGCACTGAGCAGGCTCTAGGAGAGTGCCCGGAGGAGCTGGGCCCCCCAGTTCTCAGAGGGAGCGCGGTCATGGTCAATGCCCTCGGAGACTTGCTCCCCCGACAGCGAGTTTTCATCGAGTGCTAGTGGACAGCTCTGAGTGAAGCCCGCGAGAGGGGACGGGACAAGCAGGATCACCCACTAGTCCGAGGAGAGAACTTCACTTGGAAAAAATGCTCACTTTATGCTGCGAAAGAAAACCTCTGCAAACCACTCCCATGTTCAAAAGCAGCAGCTGCCCCGTGAACGCGGGCAAATGGGAACCAGTAACGTAGAGAGGGGGGCGATAGGCGCCTGTGAGGTTTGCTCTGTGAGACTCATGGCCGAGCCCAGCGGACAGTGCTGCCACGGGCAGAGGGCGCCTGCGTCCGGCCGTCCTCCCTTTGGGTCAGAGCAGAGTCCACACGCACAGCAAAGAGCGCGCGGGGCTTCCTGGCTGGGCTCAGGGGCACCAGGGCGGGCTCCTCGCCTGTGCGCATGCCTGACGTAGGAGGCATCGGAAACGAAAAGCTAGTTTTACCGCGGTGAAGTATTTTCTGAACATATCACATTACAAAGCCCCAAACCGCAGGGACAAGGCCTGGGCCCTCACCCAACTGCTGAGGAGTCTGTGGAAGAAGCCTCTCCTTCGCTTGGGGGCTGGCTTCGGCTGGCAGGTTTTGTCTCCCTGATGCAAGTCCCGAGTTTCCTCATTTTCACTCTCGTTGATGTCCTTGAAACATTCCGACTCGATCATCTGCATCCGCAGAAGGGCAGGACAGAGCAGCGGGCAGCCCCGGGTCAGCCAGCCCCCGGGGCCCTCGCCAGCCCTGCCCTCCATTTCTGCTGGCCCTGCCTCCTGGCCTCGTCTTGGGTCCCTTGGCCTCCCTCCCCCTGGTGCCAGCCAGCCCTGCTTAGGAAGTGGGACTTAGGGCCGGAAGCCCCCATCGGACCCAATGGCCACCTTCTGCCTGCCACCTGTGAAGGGACCAGGGACAGCTGCCGTGGATAATTGTACCTCTCAACACCCTCACACAGGTGTGTGTATGTAACAGCTAAGAAGATACCGTCACACACACATACACACACGTCCTTGTCATTTTCATCCGTCACCCTCACTTGGGTAGCGGCGCACGCTGACAAGCAGTACCTCATTCTGCCAGGGGATGGAGACAGAGCCCGTGACAAACTGGCTGTAGAAGGCGGTGTCGGCGGCGTCCAGGTAGATGCCTCTCACCATGGAGAACTGCTCGATGTCCATGATGTCCTTACAATACACCGCACGCGGCTGCGCACGGAGAACAAGGAGGCACCGGCCGTGAGGCCACTGGGCCACTGGGTGTCCTTAACCACGACGGACACCGCACACGAGGTCAAGGCCTGCACACTTCCTCGGGCCTGGTTCCGCCGGGCCTCTCATCTGAAGCGTTCTGACCCTCCCTGGACACTGTCATTAACCTGTGGACACTGTCCGGCCAGGCCTCTTGCCCACACACCTGAGACCCACGCCTCCCTTTTCTGCAGTGGACAATGGGTTACAGGCGGGCCAGGGCAAAGAGAGTGGTCAGGTGCTCTCGTGGGGACATGGCCCTGATCCTCACGCCCGCCTCACACTCAGCTTCCTTCACAGCGACACCCGCCTAGTCTACGTGAGTAACGGCGGGCCCGTCAGCGCTCATCTCAGGTCCCAGCCGAGGGAGGCTGGTCTGCACACCCTCCTCAGGGCCAGGGGCCAGACTCTGTCCTCAGGAGCCAGCGGCCAGGAGCAGGCGGGGCGTCTCAGTGCGGCCGCCTGCCTGGCTGGGAGTGAGGAAGAGAGCGCAGCAGCGGCCTGGCCCAGCTAAGGCGGGGCGCCCTGCAGCTCCAAGCACGCACACCCCAGAGTGATGACCAGGGGGTCCTGTTCCCGAAGCCAGGTAGGAACTTCTCCGAAAGCAGCTGCCACCACAGGGGAGACAGTCCAGGGGGAGGCTGGTGGAACCGGGCCCAGGCCCAGGCCCAGAACCTGTACTGATCCCCACTCAAGTGCAAGCGCCTGACACGTGACAATCAGACTCTGCTGTCACCTAGCCCCCGCAGGTCCTCTGGCTAAAGCCAAGGGAACTCCCAGAACCGCCCAGACCTCTGGCCTACGCATCTTAGCACCGCACCCCATCATCTCTCCCTCCTCAGAGAAGACTGTTGGCCGGCCTCCCTGCACAGGCCCCAGGCGGCCCAGGCCTGGTGGGAAGGCTCTAGGGCCCAGTGGTCCATCGGAAGTCTCTGCCTGGGGTTCTGCTCCTGCTGTAACTGACTCACCGCTGATCTGCGCAGCCTGGAGCGAGCTCCCTCAGGGGAGCCGGCTGTTGTTCTCCCTGTGCCCACACTACAGCGTGTCATCAACATGCAATTGGAACCAGTTCCCGGGAAGAAGCCACTCGTGTAAGATATATGGATATAACCGAGTCCCGAACTCTGCGGCTAGACACCTCACGGCCATCACACCCTGCAGGACCGCCTCACACCCGGCCACAGACCATTGTCCAATCCGTCTATGCCTGTGTTCCCACCGGCACTGACACGTGCCTGAGCCTGGATCAGTGTCTCCCCCACACACACTGAGGCGACCACTCCAGGCCCTCAATGTGCAGCCAGGACCTCTGAGACACACGCTGGCCGGCACTGACATCAGAAGGGGATACTGCGGGGAAGGTCTGAGGACAGCTGTGGCCGGGCTCAGCTCCGATGGCCCACGGCGGACACCAGGCCCCAAGCCCGAAGCCAGAGCGCTGCTGAGAAGGCCTGTGAGGACAGGCCTAGGACTATGGGGGGTGGGGAGGGAGGAGGAACCAGATCCTAGGGGACCTGAGTGGAAGTCACATCCACTGGCTGCAACAGGTGACCTGGAGCTACTGGGGTGAGGCCTGCCTTTTCTGGGACCCCTGCTACTAGGCCACACGGTACTCACGTCTGGGCAGAACGGGGGCTCCAACATGTGTACTTCCAGCCTCTTGAAGTTAATGTTCTTGAACAGGGGGTGCTTTCGCACACCAGCGGCTCCATCACCCTGGCAGCCCAGGCGCTGCTTGGGGTCCTTGGTGAGTAACTGGAAGAAGCAGAAATGGAGTCAAAAGCTCCGGGGTCAAAAGAACGCAGAACAGCTCCACAACCATCCCCAAGGAAGAGGCAAAGAGCACCCGCTTCGAAACAGAGGCCTCGATTTCAGTGTCCACCCAACTTCATTCATTCAGACTTGACTAATTAAACATGCGGTGCTTCAAACGGAGTTAAACTGAAGTTTTCCTTTGAGCTGTCAATAAATAAAGAGTTGGCGAATAAATCCCTAAGAAAATAAATTTTTACCATGAAAAATGAGCGAAATCTTTAAAAGAAATAGAAACCGTTCAGCACTTCTGAGCAACTACTTACAGCTAAGTCACGCCTACACGTAGAGACCACTCACTCCTGATCTGCTCACTGAGGCGGCCGCGGGGTCTCAGCGAACACTTCGCCAGCCTGGCTCCAGAAGTCACACACGCTTACAACTGACGGCGTTCTTACTCACACATCTGTAACTGTCACAGCTCGGAAGAACTTCCTCCAGTTACAACCAACCAAAAAGGTTTGGCTGGGCGCCAAGCAACACAGGAAAGACCTGGAGCTTGAAAATACTCCCGGGCCAGGCCAGGAGTGCAGCCCGCCCCAGCCCTGGCTGCCTGAACTGCCTGAGCGGCACGGGGTGAGCGGCTCTGCTGCTCTTGCACTGGCAGCGGGATGAGGAGCCTGACAGACACCGAGCCCCGAGGCCTAAGCAGCACTGGGCCCCTGGCCCCTCCAGACTCACAGCCAGCACCTACCGCTTCTCTGAAAACAAACCCAGTTTCCAGGCAGAGGCCAGAGAGCATTCTGGCTCGAGCTTACCTGCTTTTCTTTCTTTCTTTCTTTCTTTTTTAACCTGCCCTTCACTATAGTCATTTTTCCGTGTTTCAGCTGCCGGGAGCCTGTGAGGCCTCGGGGCAGGTCCATTTCCAACGTGCCTTCTCACATCCCTGCAGCCACCCGAGGGAGCAAGCACTCAGGCAGTATTTGTGAGCTGCACGGAACAGCAGCTTGGACAGCTCCTGACTAAACTGTCAGCTCCAAGCAAAGGAGCTGGAAGAAAGGCCCTGAGCCCAGTGCCCGTGACAGGCAGGAGCACAGCCGCCATCCACGGAAACACACGGAGAAGGAAGCTGACATGGCTACTGCCAGCACCGTCCACTCCCGAGTTACTGACGCACTTCAGTGACAGCGCCTGCTGGAGTTTCCAACATCCCCAGGAACCTGCCCCCCGTCCCTCCAGCCACTCCCCTGGGTCACACCCCGACTCTACATGACCAGCAAGCCCTCCTCTGCTGCCCCGCAAGCAGCCTCCCCCGTGTGTGCCCGTCTTTCTCACCTAACTGGCCAGGAGGCACCGCGACTCCGCAGGCTGTGGCTCATAACGGCAGCCTGACCCACAACGGGGGCCTCAAACTCTCCCTTCATTTCAACCCACATGGCCCTCTGATGCTGCAGGATCGCCTCCCCTCCCTTCATCTCCTCTCCTCTGCACACCGGGCCTCCTCAGCTCCCTCCCACCCCCGAGCGGCCGATGACCTCTGAGACCAGAGGCACAGAACGTGCATGAGCTCCCAGTGCGCATCCACGGCCCGGCCCGGCACCATCTCTCCCGCGCTCCGCCTCTCCTGCCTGCTCCACCGGGTGCAGCCAGGTCTGAGCTGCTCCCGCCGCCCCCCTCCCCCGTCCCCGAACTTCTGCTAAGGCTGGCTGGCCCCTCCGTCCTCCTCACAGCCTCTCCCCGGCACGTCCCTCCCCTGGAGCCCTGTGACGGCTTCCCCGTCAGTGGACACCTGTGCCTCCCCGTGTGAGTGACAGTCCACACCCCTCCTGCCCATCCCCGCTCCGGCAGCAGAATGAGCCCTGGGGACGGGTCCTTGTCTGCTTTCCTCACTCAGGATCCCCAGTGCCTAGGACAGTCCCACGGGAGATGCAAACGGGAAGGAGTGAAGAAATGGACGCAGAACATGTGAGCACTGGCTTCAGGGAGGACGGAGCGCCTTTCACCCCTCAGTGTGGGCCGGGCAGCAGGGACCATCACGCCGTTCCTCCCGGGCGGCATCCGGAAGGTTCCCTCCTGCCTGACTGGGGAGGAAGTCCCTGGCATTCGCCTCAGGAACACGAAGGCCCTCGGCGGCCCCCTGAGCCAGGGCCTTGCTCACTGGACACGGACAACGCGGGGCTGCCATGGCCGCGGGAGGGAGAAACTCACGCCCGAGCCCGAGCCGACCCACCATCCTGCAGATGGACTCGGCGTCCTCCGAGAACCGCTGGGAGTACAGCTCCGTGTCCTCCTTCACGCGCCGCTCCACCTCCTCCCGCTTGGCTTTCTCTTTGAATTTTCTGAACGGAGAGTGCCCCTGAATCATCTCATAGAGCAGACAGCCAAGCCCCCACCAGTCAGGGCTATAGGTGTAGGCTTCGTTATTGATAACTTCAGGAGCTAGGTAACAAACACAGGAAATGCTAATTAAATTTTAAATTTTCTGGTAACTAATTCCAAATAACACACTATAAATACAACATTTGTCTCAACATGCATGAACCTAGAAACATGTTAAGCAAGAGAGCCAGAGCAAAAGGCTGACTAGCGTGTGACTATCTCTATGAAGCGGGCAGACTGGCCAAGTGCCGGGCACGGAGAGCAGCTGCGTGGCTGCAGCCTGGGCTGGGAGGGGCAGAGCCGCTGTGGGTGGGCACGGGGGTTCCTGTTCCAGAATGAGACCGTGGTGCTGGGCGCACAGTGCTGTGACGGCTGAGACCAGGGATGTACACGTCGGGTCGGCGGGCTTCAGGTGCATGAAGTATGTTTCAGTCCAGCTGTCACTGGAAACTACATCACAGAGCGGGCAACAAGTCCCCACAGAGGAACCACTGGCAAGGGTGCTCCCTCCAAACACAGCCACCGCCCCGGGGTCCCTTGGCCGAGGGGGCTCCCTTGGGCCAGCACTGGGAGGGAAAGGCGCTGTGCCGGACCTCCGCCTCCCCACCCCTGCCCGCCCCCACTTCCAGCTCTAGTGCTGAGAATACAGCTCTGCTCAGTATAGGAACAATCTCCAAAATGGAAATGTGTATTTTTGCTAGGAGCCCCAGTTTCCTGTGTTTTTAATATAAATAGTGTACACAGACTGATGGAACTTTAAATAAACGGGAATTAAGTATGTAAGAGTTGGGGAAAAAAAGGGGACCATCACGCCATTCCTCCTGGGCGGCATCCGGAAGGTTCCCTCCTGCCTGACTCGGGAGGAAGCCCCTGGCATTCGCCTCGGGAACACGAAGGCCCTCGGCGGCCTCCTGAGCTGGGCCTTGCTCACTGGACTGTCCCTCATCTCATCGGGTCCCCGCGGCAGGTGACAGCAGAGCAGCAGGCTGTGGGAGTCGCTGCAGGCTCTGCAGGGGCCCTCGGCAGCCCCTCGGGGTCAGGCTGGCGCCCGGCTGGACAGTGAGGTCACTGCTCTGGAGCTGACCAAGGCAGGCCCGCGCACCCAGACTTCGGCATGGCCAGGGGACACAGTTCCACCAGGGGTCTGCGAGGCCGCGTGCACCCGGCGTGGCAGCGGCAGAGTGCGATGGGCTGCCTGGTCCCGACCCTGCCTTCACGGAGCCCAAGGCGTCTACGGGCCTCAGTCCCACCTAGGACAGGAGTGGACAGGAGGACTCCTCACACTCCCACGCCGCCGGCACAACTTCCAACGCCACCTGTGCCTCAGGTAGAATGTCTCTGTGTCCTGAGAACCCGGGCACCTAGACAGAAAGGGCAAGGCTCGCTGAAGGGGTCCTCTACGTACCCATGTAGCCGACTGTTCCAACTCTTCCTCGAATTGTCTCCCCTTCTGGGACCTCCATGGCTAAACCAAGATCTGAAATCCGGACATGTCCTGCGTGTGTTCAAATACATGACACAAATCACGGGGGGCGTGCTGACGCTTCCACTCCCTACAGCCTGGGGAGAGCCGCCTACAGCGCATGGCGGGAGCTGCAGCGGCCCACGCTCTCAGACTGAGATCTAAGTGACAGTGACCTGTCCACATCTGCTCAAGTACCACCCAGAGCGTTCAGCTCCGCTCACAGCAGGACATTAGGCTTCTGCCTGGCTCGGGGTCGGGAAGCCATTTGACCATCGACACCTGCGGACAAGCTCTCCCAGGCACTGAATCGTTCCCGACCAGCCTACACAGCACTCGGGACAGGAACAGGGACCTGGGACTGAGGCTGCACTGCATCACAAATCCCATCATGCCCTGGGCGCGAGCCTACCCAGGAAGCAGGAGGGTGCCGGGATCAGGGCAGATTCTGGAGCCCCGAGGCCTGGGTTTGAGTCCCAGCTCTGCCACATGTTAGCGCGTCTGGGTTTCCTCCTTCACAGAGAAGATTCCCTCAGCAATGCAGTTTTATATAGTTTATGTCTAAGGAGAGTACACGCATGTTGCAAAATTTCAAGTTCCCCTGTCTCATTTTACTTTTAAAAGGAGAAATGAACAGTAAACCTACTGGAAAAACTGCAAGTTTGAGACACGGTCTGTGGGCGGTGTGTGGGGACACAGGCAGATACAAACAGCACAACAGCCTTGCCCGTGGGGCTCAGTTGGCTGAGCTCTGTCCCAGGCAATAAAGGGTCCCTGGGTTGATTCCCACTCAGGGCATATGCCGGGTTGCGGGCTCCATCCCCAGCAGGGGGTGTGTAGGAAGCAGGTGGCTGATGCTTCTCTCTCTCTCTCTCTCTCTCTCTCTCTCCCCTTCTCCCTGCCTCTGTTTAAAAACAAACAAACAAAACAACCAGCACAACCCCCGATGGAGGGATATAGCAGAACTGCACGTGACCTGGCCTTCAGCCTAGCACCCCACTCCTATGGCTCTACCCCAGGGCTGCACTAGAACCACAGGCAGTGCCATGTGCCCAGGCTGCACGCTGTGCACAGTGGAACAGCAGAGACTGGGGCAGCCAGGCCCTCCCGGTGACAAGGGGCCAGGAGATCTCCTGAGTGTGGGAGAGTGACCTCTGCTACACATTAAAAAAGCAAAGTGAGGAAAACAGCATAAGATGTCAGTCATCAGACCCTAATGTTCTCCGCATCAGAGAAAAATGCAAAGGGAAGAAGAAGGGAATGTCAATATGAACCCGTGATGAAGGTTTTCTTTAAAAAAAAGAGAAAGGGCACATTTCCTCTGCCAACTCCGAAGGCCTAGGAAGAATGAACCGCACAGCAATGGGACCGCGGCGCCCACGTGGGTCTCGCGAGGCCGCTCTCCACACAGAGGACGGGCCCTGGGGAGACGGTGGACTCAGCTCTCAGGACACACACAGGGGACCCTGGAACAGGATCACAGAGGAAACAAAGGGCGATGTTCAAATCTACGGGGCACCTGCTGGCCATGCGGGACAAGCTGACCAAAGCGAACAATGACTCCAGTGGACGGAAACCTAGCAAAGCATTACAACCCGCCAGTTCATAACGACAGCAAAACAGGAAGCGAACACCTCCTGGTCGTCTTGTGAAAACAAGGGGCGCAGAGCCCAGTGTTTCACCGGGTTTTCCTGAGCAAAGAGGTAAACAAATGCTGACGAGGCCAAGTTCTTTCTCGCAGAGGAATCCAACAAGTGCGTGCCCAGGAGCAGCAGAAGCAGAAGGCCGTCGCCGAGTCCCAGGTATGACAGGGAGACACTGACCGTTAAGCCGACAGCGGAAAGCTGCTGACCAAGACCCAGCCCCAAGGGCCGCTCCTAACACCATCACAGGCTCCCCTGCCGTGGAAGAGCCCACGCGGCCATGTGCACGGCTGCCCTGGGACACATGCCCCGTAAGGAGGGCAACACCGTGAGCAGCGCGCCCATGGTCAGAAGGGCGTGGAAACCCCCGTCTCAGGAATACAGCAAGGTGTGGGTCAAGAGCAAGAGCAGAATGCCCTCACTGTGAGTGAACCTCGGCCTGCTGCTCGCCTGGGCCCAGGGGTGACAAGGCCACCCATGCACTTGCAGAGGCGTCCCCGGCTCGCTCTGCTGCGTCTGCCTGATGTCTGAGTGGAGGGCACGCAGGCTTCTGCACTGACTCTCTGCCCCCAAGTCCCTCTCAACGAGGTCTGTGCTCCAGAGGGAGGTTCACTCACCGCGGTCGTCAAGGAGAATGTTCTCGGGCTTTAAGTCTCTGCAAAGGAAGAAGTGACAACAAAGAGCAGTTATTTGGAAGCTGACACTGCGACCCATCAGCAGCCGCAGAAACAGCCCCGCGGTCTCTGCACCGACAACGGTGAGAGTGAGCGCCCGCCGCCCGCCCGCCCGCGGGAAAGTACGAGGCAAGCAGTGACTGGGAAATCGAAGGAGCAGGCAAATACCCAGGAGGGACTTGTGGCCAACGGGCGGGGTGAGAGCGAGGGACACCCAGACCCTGGGACTTTAGGAGAAAGGGTGAGGCTGGCAGGGCCTCCAGCAGCTACAGGACGGGGGCTGCTTTCCCTCAGACTAAGACACTGAACTAAGGCTATTAATTTCGTTTTCTTACTAAATTCTGAGAGGTAAAAAGAGCCAGTAACTGTGATTTTAAGACACTGAATTGTGTGCCATTTGCTGGAACCGAGTCCAAGCCCTCAGCAGCAGGCTCACTGTCTCAGAGTCGGAAACAGGTTCTGACGCGACAGAGGGGCACTGCCCACATCTGACCAGCCGAACCAGCGAGAACGGCCACTAGGGATCAGGGAAGACGGAGAGGGGCCGACGCTCTATCCACTGAGCCAAACAGGTTTCGGCATGATTCTTAAAATATGCAGGTCCTCCAGGCCGCAGCACAGCTCTGCCGCGTAGAACACCGCTCTCTGCTCGTCGATGCCGGGGCCGCCCAGGTTGTAGATGTGGAACTTCAAGTCCCCTCCGTTCATAATGGTGAGCACCAAGCACAGGGCGTCTCTGGTTTCGTACGTGTAGCACAAGCTCACCTGGAGACGGCAGCACCGCAAACACAAGACACCTGCTCAGCCCGGCCCTCCCCCGGGCCGACAGCACTCAGGGAGGCCTGCGGGGGGCGGGCACCCACTCTGCCTCCGGGGCTGCGCCCCCACAGGGGCTTCGGGGCCTTTCTTGCTGAGGACCCGGGGCCAGTTCCCAACTGAAGGGAGAGAACTTGCCACGCCCACGTGGGTGGGTGGGTGGCACCACTTCACCGAGACACTGGATCACCATCCCAGGCTCCCTCACCCTCACCCTCACCCCGCCCCCAGCAGTGCACGGAGGTCTCGCTGCTGCACATCCTTCCAACACTGCTGTCACCCAGCGCGGGTGGTGTTAACCTGCATGGCTCTGACTGTGCACACACGGGGCTACTTCTCATGCTTTTGCGTAGACTTAGGAAACCTATTTTGCCTGGTTTTCTATTGGTCTGTATGTCAATTCACACACACACACACCTGCTAGGGCCATGACTGGACTGCACTTCATTTAATCTCGGCATCAATTTGGGGGGAAACTGACATCTTCACAGCACCCGTCTTCCGACCGGTAAGCCCCCCTCGTTAGCTCTTGTCATTTTCTTTTCTAAGTATTCTCTCAACACCATGTTGAAACTTTTTAAATTGATTTTTTAGCAAGAGAAAGAGAACACCGGTTTGCTGTTCCACTTGTTCATGCACTTGCTGCTGCTTGCTGCACGTGCCCTAACTGGGGATCGAACTACACCGACATCCCGGGAAAACACGCCAACCGAGCTGCCCGGCCAGGGCTCCTGGAACTTCTTGTACTCGCATCTTATAGGTCTCAGTGGAGAAGTCTCGCACATTTTCAATTTTTGCCTAGCTCTCGATGTTCCTTGATGCCATCATAGATGGTGTCAATTTAAAATTTTTCATTTTCTAATGTAGCTAGTGGCACATTTAATAAATTGACTAACTTCCCAATCAGTGACTCGGAAAGTCTCGGACTATCTACCGCACAATCGTGCTGTGGGCGGGGGCGGGGCGGGGGGGGGGAACGGGTGTGACGTAGCTGGGCAGGACCCGCACTGCTGTTCGCAGGGAACAGATCCCAGAGGAAGGGAGAATATTTCTAGGTTCCTTGGGAGCAGCCAAGAAGGCAGAAACAAAAACATTTCATTTAAATAGAATAAACCGCAACTACTTCTTATGTCCCTTTCATTACGTTAGAGCGTGGATTTTTATGTTTCAAGGTAGTTATATGTGTAAAGCAGCTCCAAAATGAGCCCATTTTTAAAAATATATATTTTATTGATTTTTTTACAGAGAGGAAGGGAGAGGGATAGAGAGTTAGAAACATCGGTGAGAGAAACATCCATCAGCTGCCTCCTACACACCCCCTACTGGGGATGTGCCCACAACTAAGGTACATGCCCTTGACCGGAATTGAACCCAGGACCCTTCAGTCCGCAGACTGACGCTCTATCCACTGAGCCAAACGGGTCAGGGCCAAAATGAGCCCATTTTATTAAAGATTTTCAGGTGACATGCGTCAGACTGTCATGGCAGACACATAAAGTCTTGCTATTAAATTTACACGATGGCCACCCACTGCTGGGAACGCTGCCCCCCAGCACAAAGCAGCTGACCTCACACTGAGAAATCAATGACTTGGAGGAAGTGACTCTAACACTACAAATCATTTTACAAACTACCTGTCACTCTCTTCCTTCAACCAGACCCTCATACTGCAGTAGATGCTGCAGGAAATACACGATCAGGTGATGAGATACCAGGTTGGAGATGAAACCACACCACTCACTGCTCAGCCCGGGCCTGGAGCGGGTCCTGAGCTCACCGACCACAGAGAAGGTGGACGGAGAGGCACCATACAAGGGGTGCTCACTGAGGGCCACGCAGTAAAGGTGCAGGTAGCAGAGAAAGGGAGAGACGGGATGGCCTGAGGCCCAGAGAGGAGGCGCTAGAGCAGGTCTCCAGCCGGAAGCTGGCTGCCAGGGGAACGGGGGACACCTGGCCGGCCAAGCTTGCAGTGGACGTCACCGCCAGACCAGGCCTGGTGGAAGCAGCGGATCTGTTACAAACCCCAGTTCCAAGCAGGCTCTCCACTGTCGTACGTCTGTGTCCGGGTAGGAATTGAGTAAGAAAAGAGAGGGCTGTTACTAAAGCAAAGCCGTTCCCGACACCTATGCCTGTTAACAGCACAAGATGGCAACCGCACACGCACTACACCAAGAAATTCCCACGGCTGGAAGGAGGGGGCTTAGAGGCAGGTCGTTAAGGGAAATGCTGGTTCCCACGGGTCCTCAGTGAGGACGAGAGGAGGGACTCCTGCAGATCCACCGGGCTCTCTCTGAGGCCCCCGGGAGGCGAGAGGAGGTACTTACTACAAATCTACTTTGCACTTTTTCCAGGAGTCTTTTCTCATTCAGGGCCATGGCTTCGCCGTTCCTCCTTTTAATTCTTTTCTTTAGCATCTTTTTACAGGCGTACATTTTCCCTGTGGCTCTCACTTGACAGGCATAAACCTAGTGGCAAAGAGAAAAGGAGAGGTGGATCGGAGCTGGGGTTCCCAGGCCACGGGGAAAACCGTCTTCTGTGATCAGCCTGTCAGCGCAGCAGCAGAACTGGCCGAGCCACGGCCACTGCCATGGCCACAGCTGGGAGTGTCTGAGCCGCCCCTGCCTCCCCTCGGCTTCCTTTTCTACGGCAGGCGCTGGGGCAATCACGGGAAACACGTGCTCTAACACCCAGGACAGCGGGAGACGGGACTGGTTCATGTGTGATCGTGGTGCAACTCTTTAACATGTCTCCCTCCTTTTTTGTACAAAAGCAAAAGTTTTAGAAACTAGATTCTTGATTTTTTAGAAAGTTCAAGAATATTAGAAAATATATTTTACAGAAGTCATAGACTTTCATACATTTATTATAGTTAGTTTTAAAGTCATATTTACATATTACTTAATTTTATATTATGAACATTTTCAAACATATAAAAGTGCCCTGACCTGGAATCAAACCATGATCTCCTGGATCATGGTTGACACTCAACCACTGAGCCACACTGGCTGGGCACTTCCAAATTTTTTTAAAAGCTTTTACTAACGTACCTTTTGCTCAAAGTTCAATCTTTTTTTAAAAAAATATGTATTTTATTGATTTTTTTACAGAGAGGAAGGGAGAGGGATAGAGAGTTAGGAACATCGATGAGAGAGAAACATCGATCAGCTGCCTCCTGCACACTCTCCACAGGGGATGTGCCCACAACCAAGGTACATGCCCTTGACCGGAACTGAACCTGGGACCCTTGAGTCCGCAGGCCGACGCCCTATCCACTGAACAACACGGCCAGGGCTCAAAGCTCAATCTTAATGCTCATGCTTATTCCCCGGATACATGTTATGGAAGCACATGTGCAACTTCAGTGGGTGCGTTACCTGAAGCAAGTGTCTCAAATACCTGCTGTATAGCATGACGCACATTGGCCACATAACACTTACCTCTCCGAATCCGCCTTTTCCTAGAACTCTGTAATGTCTAAATGTTTTCTTTGTTACTGGCTGCCTAAGTAATAAAAAAGAAGTTTTAGGTCTCACATCACATTGTTACTTTAAAGCAGAAAAGCCCACCTAGCTCTTGTCCCAGACTTACTTACGGAACCCTACTGGTCTAGGGGAGGACAGGGTGCCTGTGCTTGGGGACGGTGGCCCTCCCGGGGGACAGCTCTCAGCTGCACTCAGCAACAAGCACACGGAACATTTTTCATTGAAAACACTGATGACAGATGCAGAATGGTCGTTATCTTTACTCAGGAAAGACAAGTTTGCAACTCGCCCACATGTGAAGTATTATGTTTTCTCAGGACCCCCGCAGGCCCGTCAGAAAGCTGCTGAGGAAAGAGGACGGGTTTACAGCGCGCTATCCTTTGGAAAACCAGACATCTCGAAAAACATGTCTGAACTAGAACTGGAAAAGTGGTCAATCTATACACAGTATGTCCTCGGGTGACATCGGAGAGCCGCTCCTACGGCGACGTAACGCGATTTTCGCCCTAAGTCGGAACCCACCTACATAAACACCTTATGTCACTCCCGTGGAGCACAGACACAGCAGTAATGAAGGGAAACCAAAAACAAAATTTAAAGGAAGATAACAATCCCTGCCCTTCACTGTGGTAAATAAATAATAAAACATAAAGCACACATGTACATACGTCAAAATCACGGAACTTTTTTATAAAGGGGCGATGGTGACGTAACCACCAAACGACATATGTCGAGTTCGACGTAACCCAAGGACTGTATATATATATAAAAGGCCAAGCAACTGGCCAAGCAACTGGCCGACCAGCGGACCCAGCCGGTAGGTATGACATGCACTGACCACCAGGGGGCAGACAACGCAGGAGCTGCCGAGCGGCAGCAACTTTGCAGAGTACCCTCTCGCACTCTGGGACCCCTTGTGGGATGTCGGACTGCCGGTTTCTGCCCAAACCCCGCAAGCCAGGCCCAGGGACACCACCTGCCGGAGGGACCCCACTCACTCCGCAGACGCCCTTTGAGCCCCGGCACCGCCCCAGGTGCAGCTGGCCGGGAGGGATCATGGGAGGTTGGCTCCAGGGCGTGTCCGGTCCATCTCGCCCAGTCCCTCCCCACTGGCCACCTTCTAAGTTCCTTTCAATGTGCACGAATCTGTGCACCAGGCCTCTAGTCAATAATAACTGCAGCCCTGGCCGATGTCGCTCAATGGTTAGACTGTTGGCCCAAACACTGAAGTGTCAAGAGTTCGATTCCCAGTCAAGGGCACGTACCTGGGTTACAGGTTTCATCCCCGGCCCTGGTTGGGGTGTGTTCAGGAGGCAACCAATCAATGTATCTCTCTCAGGTCGATGTTTCTCTCTCTCTCCTCCCTTACCCCCTCACTTCCAATCTCTCTGGAAATCAATGGAAAGAATATCCTCACTCCTCGGGTGAGGAGTAAAAGTAAAAATAATAACAATTGTAATAACAATACTAGTGGCAGCTAATACTTTGTGAGCACTTACTCTGTACACGAGACTAGGACTTCACACACATTTCTCAGGCGACCGGGGCATCTAGTGGCGTGGGTCATGCGCACCTCGACTTACAGAACCAGGACCTGAAGCTCACAAAGGCTAAGTCACTTGCCTGAGGTCACACAGCTGTAGGAGGCCGCACAGCTGCAGGAGCCGCACAGCTGCAGGAGGCCGCACAGCTGCAATACGCCGCACAGCTGCAGGAGGCCGCACAGCTGCAGGAGCCGCACAGCTGCAGGAGGCCGCACAGCTGCAATACGCCGCACAGCTGCAGGAGGCCGCACAGCTGCAGGAGCCGCACAGCTGCAGGAGGCCGCACAGCTGCAATACGCCGCACAGCTGCAGGAGGCCGCACAGCCTGAGACCCACAGCACTGTATGTCTGTGACCCTAGGACATGCTTTATTCTTCTAACTACTGCACCAAGAGGGCTGACAACCATTTAAAAAGACAGAACAGAGTCAACTGAATGAGAAGAAACTAGTAACACACATTAATAATCTCTGTACAGAAATACCACGTGAAGGCCAAGATTTCCAAGAGTACTTTGACAGATGGAAAAGTATACATTAGTCAGGGTGAGTATGAGAAGTTACCATTGTTTTCCCTGAATCTTAAGTGAGAACATACCTTTCCAGCCATTTCCACTGTAAAAATCGAGAAAAATATGGGCTCTCTTGGTATTCTTCAAATGGCTTTCCACTTAAATAGCGATGGACAACTCTAGAAGAAGATGGCGTGCAGTTATACCTGCTTCCTTACAACACGGAAACAGCTGTGTTAGTGCAACAGCAAGCCCGGGGCATGGGAAAGTCTATCACACACACACTGCTCAATACTGAATGCGAAATTACAGGAGCACAACAGGCTCCAATGCTATCAGTGAAAACAGGAAGGGAAGATTCAAAAGAAATGAAATCAATTTACCCTCCAAAGTCAGAGGTTCTTTTTCTGTATATGGACATCAGAGAAATGCTTTATAAAAACAATCAGTAAAAAGACACTAGTTTAAAACATATTCAAAGTGTGTGTGCACACACTGGCATGTATATTTCAGGAGGGAATTTAAACATTTTGTAAACAAAATGGAGGAATGTCTAATTGGTAATAGTCACAAGGCAGAACATGTTAATATGTGACACACCTGTCGTTTTAACACTGGAAATGAAGCAATTATTTTACGCGACACACTTTCTCAAATTTTATGCACTTGGCCTGGCCACTGAGGCTTCATCTCTAACTCTATTTTAGAAGGAATAAAATGCTCACTTGGGGAAGCATCTCTCCCTGTCCTGCTGAGCGGGCTGCAAGCACGCGCCGTTGCTGCAGGGAACACAGTGCTGAGGTCCCCACAGGCTGAGGCCTCTCCGGGGAGCTCGGCAGCAAAGCTGCATTTACAGTGACACTAAAGCCTCACGTATTCTGAGCCCCATTCTCCCAGAGGCTCTCCAGAGGCTGCAGTGTGACAACGCCGCAGCTCTGAGAGCGGGACGCTCGTGTCTATTTTTAAGAAGCACGACCCACAGGAACAAAAGCTCTCCGGGTCCTCCACGTGTTTTAAGAGCAGACCAGGTCCTGAGAGGAAAGGTCTGAACCGGCCGCGACGTTCAATCTGAGAACTAAACCCGGGCCTGCTCCTCACTTCCTCGTGGACAGGCTGCTCCCGGGCGCTGGGGCAGGTGGGTAGCTCAAGTGCAAACCTTTCTGAACCGGTTAAAGGACTCGATGCCGCTGTCAGCTACATCGTCTTTATCAAGGCATTTAAGAATTTCCATGAGAAGCACAGCACAGACAGAGCTTGTTCTACAGGGAGAGGCAAAAGCAGGCTTACAGCTGTCCGTATGGAAAATAATACAATAATTAGTAAATAATACAGGACTAAACTGTTTCGCACACTCACCGCCGGAAGCCCACTTTCCCTCACCTGTATTATATTTGTGTATTTCAGAGTCTGTTTAATCAATGGCTACCATCAACCTAACCTACCATCCTTCTCAATTTCACTTCCTCACACGCCTACCTCAAAACAGTGAACCGCTGCTCAGCTCTAGCCTGGGAAACAAGGCTACCGCACGCATTTCAAACCATTATGACATTTGAAACTGCACAGTCCTGGCCGCGTTTCCAGTGGTTAGTGTCAGTCTGTGAAGCAGAAGGACCTTGGGCTCGATTCCCAGTCAAGGGCAGGTACCTGGATTGCACGTTCGATCCTGGCCCTGGTCGGGGGCGTACAGGAGGCAGCCAATCGGTGTGTCTCTCTCATATTGATGTTTCTCTCTATTTCCCTTCCTCTCTCTCTAAAATCATTAAAAAACCAAAACATTTTATGGAAATCTTTTCATCCCCGACACCAGCATTTTGGAAGGCTGAGCAGAGGGCCAGGAGCTGGCGGAGTGCTGCTACCGCCCTGGCCCTCCGATGTGGCTGCCTCCGTGGGTCCCTATGCAAGTGTACTGACGACTCCTCCTCGTGGAAGCGCATTTCATCTCGCAGCGCTCTGTAAGAGCGGTCTCATGCCCAGAAGCCTCCAGCAGGCCCGTCTCAGGGCGAGCCACAGTGATGGGCAGGGTGGGCACAGCCCCTTACCTGACACATTCCTTGAACAGCTCTTTGGAGGGGACCTCCTTCAGTCGCAGCCTGCACGCTCTCACAACACGGGCAGAAATCCGGGGTAAAGGGGCTGCCGCGTTCTTACAGCACAAACCAAAGACATGAAATTAGTGATTTCGCAACTTACCAATTATGAGCAAGACCTAACGCTTATTGTGAAAAACGAAAACACGGAGGACATGAAGTAAGTCTAGGTACCGCCGTCACTCTGCCCAGCCTCATCCCCCAGGGTTCAGAGTGTCACCTTTCCCCGGGACATCAAAACAGACACTGCACCCCACGTCACAGCATCACTCACACAACAGCCAGAGGCAGGCGCGCCCCGGTGTCCGTGGGTCGATGCGTGGGCCAACAAAGTGTGGACCACCCGTTCAAAGGGCATTATCCAGCCTTCAATGGAAGAGGATTCTGACACCTGCCACACATGAATGGACCTTGAGGACAACTTGCTAAGTGAAATATGCCAGTCCTGGAAGGGCAAATCCTATCGGACTCCACTTATACCCCGTCCCAACAGCAAATTCATAAAAGACAAAAAGAAGAGCGGGTGCCACGGGCTGGGGAGGGGGGGGGCCTGCTGTTTAATGGGACAGGGTTTTGGCTCCGCATAAAAAATGTTCTGGAGAGAATGCAGGTGACGGCTGTACAATGGAACGTACTTAATGACAAATTTTATACAATTTTTATCACAATTAAAAATGCAAACATACACACAAACGCTCAGAAATACACACACTTTTTCCTCATACAAATGGAATAAAAACTATGCATAGATGTCCCTCAATTTATGATGCAATTATGTCCCAACAAATCCATCCTGAATTCAGAATATCATAGGTCAAACCTACCTAACACGGTAGCTCAGCCAAGCTGGCCTGAAACGTGCTCCGAGCACTTACATCAGCCCACACCAGGGCAACTGTCTTCCACTGCCTTCCCTCTTTCCTCACAGAGGAGACACGGGGGAATTTTGTAGACATGATGGGACACGGAAACACAAAATATCCAGAAAATGCTGACAACACAGCACACTGCAGAGCAGGTGTGGGGAACCCTTTTTCTGCCAAGGGCCATTTGGATCTTTATAACATCACTAGAGGCCTGGTGCACGAATTCATGCACCGGTGGGGTCCAGCCAGCTGCCCTCTCCCACCCCACATGGGGTGATGGGCCAGCTGGGGGGAGGGGCCACGGGAGAGCAAATGGGAGGCAGGGCTGGCGGGGGGAGGGGGGGCAGGGCCTGGAGAAGACCCACTGAGCTGGAGCTGAGCATGGGCCCCAGGCTTCCCAGGGAGGATAGCCTCAGCAAGGAAACAGAAACCACCAGAAGGCTCTACAAACAGACCCTGAGCTCCCCTTTGGCCAGGCGAACTCAGAGCTGTTGTCTCTGTGTGTACATTAGACACAGCCCAGCACTCACCTTTGTCTGTTGGTTAAATCCGTTGCATCAAAATGTGTTCACAT